AAAGAGGACTGGCAGTAGTTAGCTCAGGGCTAATCTTCCTCAAAAAAAAATAAAAAATAAAAAGATAAAAAAATAAATAAATAAAAGGTTTACACTGTATGGTCCCAACTTTATGATGGAAATACATGCATATTTTCAAAAGGCTGATGGGAAATTTAACAAAAGGGAATAGTGATTATAGCTATGAAGGAGGATTCAATCCCTTAGGCGTCTGCTGTTTCTACCTTTCCCCAGTTTTCTACAATGACTATGCACTGTTTTATAGCCAGGAGAAACGACCAATATGTGTTAGTGAAAGAGTAGCTCCGGAGATAAGAAAGGAATGAACTCAGCATTCTGTCACCTGCTTTGGGAGCTCCCGCTGGGCCTTCTCAGCAAGGCGACCTTTCCAGAGACGTATTGATTTCCTCTGGTTCAAAGACTTGCCTGGCTGTCAGGTCTGCTCTGCCACCCTTGGGGGCTAGGGAACAAGCGCTCAGAGATTTGGCTCCACGTTCCTGCCTTTGTGGGGGACCATGGGCTTCCGGACTCAAAGCTTGCTCCATTCTTTTGTGCAAGCACATACTGGAGCCCAGCGGGGCGCAGCCCCACACAAACAAAGCGGGAAGCCACAGTCCTAAACTCAAGGAGCTCAGAGTTGGTCAAGAGATGGACCGGGAGACAGTGTGGGCAGCAGCACAGCCAGGGTGCATGTGTGTGATGGAAATCAGAGGAGGGCCCGGCCAGGCCTGGGGGAGGCGTGGGAGGGGGACGGGGCGGGCAGGGCTGAGCTCCTGGCAGCCAAGGGGCAAATACAGAGGCAGAAAGGCCAGCAGGAGACAGGAGCTGAAAGCCATTCACTATGGCTGTTTATGGTGCATGAGGGCACGGTGTCAGGGGTGGACAGGGCGTCTCGCTTGTCATGCTAAGAGGGCTGGATTTTATCCTCAAGGCAGTAGGGAGTCACTGAAAGATTTTAAGTCTGGGAGACACCTGTTAACGTAGCCTTCAAAAGTCACTCTAGGGGCCGGCCCAGTGGCACAGCGGTTAAGTGTGTACATTTGGCTTCTTGGCAGCCTGGGGTTAGCTGGTTCGGATCCCTGGTGTGGACATGGCACCGCTTGGCAAAAGCCATGCTGTGGTAGGCATCCCACGTATAAAATAGAGGCAGATGGGCATGGATGTTAGCTCAGGGCCAGTCTTCCTCAGCAAAAAGAAGAGGATTGGCAGTAGTTAGCTCAGGGCTGATCTTACTCAAAAAAAAAAAAAAAAGTCACTCCGGCTATGGGGTAGAAAGTGCAGTAGAGGGGGCAAGATGACAAGCTAAGATGCCAGTTGGAAGCCATTTGTAGCGATCGAGGTAAGAATTAACAGGGGCTCAGACCAAAGTGGGGGCTCAAATGAAGAGAGAGAAGATAAAGCAGGTTTGAGGAGCTTTACGGCAGGAGAATCCCAAGGGCGTGGTAACTTAGTACATACCTGGGGGAGAGAGGAGTCAGGGTGGGTCCTGGGACTCTGCACATTTGCTGGTACATTCGTCATGACAGAGAATAGAGACGGTAGAATAGATTCTGGGGCCAGGAGAGGCTAGAATTTTAGCCAAGCCCCATGTGGCCCCACAGCCTGGGCAGAAACGTAGGGTGCTGCTCTCAGGGCTGTGCCTCCACAGTGGGAGAGACTGGACTGACTGCTTTCTTGTTATTGTGTTATTGTTATGAATCTGGATCTGCCAAGTGTAGAAGGTCTGTGGCAAGATGGTCAGTAGAGAGGTGAACATAAAGCTCTGGGGGTCAGGAGAGGGGCCTGGGCCGAGGGTGCATATTTGGAGGGCGCTGACCAGAGCATAGGTGAGCTCCCAGGGAGAGCGTGTAGGACTGAAAGGAAAGGACAGAAGCATGGAGAACGCAAGCATGATGAAGGGGAAAGAGGAGCTCACATGGGGAACAAGCAGAGAGGGAGAAAATGTGGCAGGGGAGAGGCGGGGGGGGGGGGGGGGGGGGGAAAGAGGGGGAGGGGGGGGGGGGA